CTTGTTCTTTGCCAATACCTGCAGTACATCTTGGACTTCAATATGATTGGCTATTCATCATATTCATCATACGCTACCTCTTGAAATGCTTGAACATCAACCATTTCATTTTGGTATAGTGACCTGTGTATTTCATCTTCTTTTGATGTTTGTGTATCACTCATTCAGTATTTTGTCCATAGACTCCATCACTATTTCAGGTCAAGGCTTGATTTTTTCTTGACAGAAATGCTGAGTGTTCTTTCCTTTTGGCTTTCTAACTCCAGGTCTTTACACATTTAATTATAATATGGTGACTTTACCTTCTCGAGCTGCCCTTTGAAAATCGTTTAGCTCTTTTACCTCATCATTTCTTCCATTTTATTTTAGCATCTCTATGCTGGAGAGCAAGTTTCAGAGTGTCTTCTAACATTCATTTTAGTCTTTTCCTTCTTTCTTATCTTCTTAATGACCTTTTGCTGTATGATGTTCTTGATTTCATACAACAACTCCTCTTGTCTTCTGTCATTAGTGTCTAATGCATCAAATCTATTCTTGAGATGGTCTCTAAATTCAGGTAGGGTATATTCAAGGTTACATGTTGGCTCTCTTGGGCTTGTTTGAATTTTCTTCACATTCAGCCTGAACTTTTTCATATGAGCAACTGATGGTCTGTTACATAGTCTGCCCCTGGCTTTGAGGTTTTCTACCATATCTTCCCATAGATGTAGTCAATTTGATTTCTGTGCATTGTATCTGGTTAGGTCCATGTGTATAATCATCTTTTACATTGTATAAAAGGTGTTTGCAATGAATAAGTAATTGGTTTTGCAAAATTTCTACCATGCAAAGGTCAGTATTGTCTCTATCACCAAGGTCATATCTTCCAACTACCCATCTGTTCTATTTGCTTCCAACCTTTGCATTTCAATCACCAGTAATCATCAATACATCTTGATTACATGTTTGATCAATTTCCGACTGAAGAAGTTGGTAGAATTCAATTGCATCATCACTGGATTTAGTAGTTAGTGCATACAATTGAATCATAGTGGTTGTTAGCTGCGTTTCTTTGTAGGCGTATAGATATTATCTTATCGTTGTTGTTGTTGTTAAGTGCCACTGAGTCGATTCCAACCCATAGCAACCCTGTATAGGGTTTCCAAAGAGCACTTCAAGATAGATCTTGAAATGTTCATTCTGATGATGAATATGACGTCATTCCTCATAATGTGTAATATCTGGCATAGTAAACCATATGACTGTCAGATTCAAAATGTTCAATACCAGTCCGTTTCAGCTTACTAATGGCTGAGATATTGATCTTAATGCATTCCTATTTCATTTTTGACAACTTCCAATTTTTCTATATTCATGCTTTATACCTTCCACCTTCCAATTATTAATGGATATTTCCAGTTCTTTCTCCTCATTTTGCGTTGTGCCCCATCAAGGGCAAATAAAGGTCCTGAAAAGTTCAATTCTACTTTGAGGAGGCAGCTCTTTCCCAGTCATGTTTTGAGTGCCTTCCAATTATAGGGGCTCATCGTCCGGCATAATGTTCTGGGTGTTACTCATCATGTGTCTGTACTCAATATTCTGGTGCTATCTGACAGTGCTCCACTGCTATTCATATGGTTTTCAGTGGCTAAACATTCAGAAGTAATTCATCTCTCCTTCCTCCTAGTCTGTCTTAGTCTGGAAGCTAAACTGAAATCTGTCCACCATGAGTGTACCCTGCTGGTAATTAAAATGCCAGTGGTATAGCATCACAGCAACATGCAAACCATCAATTTGTTGGAATACAAATAGAAATCTTTCAACAAACTGATGCAGCACTAGAGGCACTCACTCATCTATGCCAAGACATTTGGAAGGAAGATAGCTACCTGGCCAAATGATTGGGAGAAATCCCATTCCAAAGAGAGGTGACTTGTGCCCATTCCACAGACAGGTGATCAAATAGAATACGGAAATCATCAGAAAGTATCATTAACATCACATGCAAGAAAAATTTTGCTAAAGATAATTCAAAAACATCTCCTACAGAACACTGACAGGGAACTACCAGAGGTTTAAGCTGGATTTAAATGAGGACATAGAATCAGGGACATCACTGCTGACACAGAGATCTTCGCTGAAAAGAGACAATACCAGAAAGATGTTTTTCTGTGCTTGATAGACTATGCAAAAACTTTCAAATGTGTGAATTATGACACACTATGGACAACATTATGGAGAAGGAGTATTTCAGAATACTTAACTGTGCTCATGAGGAAGGTATACAATAAACCAAGAGGTAGTCATTCAAACAGAAAAAGGGGACACTTAAAAGGTTTAAAATCAGACAAAATGTGTTGTGTGGTAGGGTTATATTCTTTCACCACATTTATTCAATCTACAGTGAGAAAATAATCGGAGAAGCGGGATTACAGGATTCAAAGAAGACTCATTAGTAATCTGCTATTGGCGGTTCAAGCTCACCAGCTGCTCCTTGGAAATCCTATATAGGGTCACTATGGGTTGGAACCAGTTCGACCAACGGCACATAACAACAAATATGCAGATGATACAACCTTGCTTGCAGAAAGGGAAGAGGACTTAAAAGACTTACTCATGAAGATTAAAGACCACAGCCTTCAGTATGGGTTGCACCTCAATGTAAAGAAACCACCATAGGACCAATAAATAACATCATGGTAAATGGAGAAAAGATTGAAGTTTTCTAAGACTTCATTATGCTTGGATACACTATCAACACTATTAACACTCATGGAAACAGCAGTCAAGAAATTAAACACTCCAAAATTTGCAAATAGTATCCACTTGACCTAGCTTGGATGGCTACCTGACCAAAACTAGACCAGATAAAGAAGTTTGATACTGTGAGCAAGCATAAATTGCTACAAATTGATGAACTGGACCTTTGTTTATAGATGTAGTGCTAAAATTCCCACCAGAATGGATGGATTCTTCATATCAAGGATCATATTGTTTCCTCAGTGCAATGTGTTGATAGGGACTGGCAACTTAGACATTGGCTATTAAAAGTGGGGGCTATCATCAAAGCAAGCAATCAAGTACCTTCAGGACAAACCCCCCTCCAAGACTGAAACTCAAAGAGAACGCATGCACTTGTTTGTGACCACATTGGTCTTCTGGTGAGTAGAAGAAGGGGAAAGGCAGCAATGAAGATATGGGCCGAGTTTGACCATGTTCCATGGACTCCTGTTGACCTGGAGATGAGAGAGAGAAGAGGAAGGGCT